GAGTTACAATGACTGAAAAGTGGAGTGAAATCCAAGGGAAATGGGAATTAGTTCGAGTTATCAGAGTTCGAGTTATCGAGGTTCTACTGCATAAAGGTACATATGTGGCGGAAGGAAGTGGACTTGCTACTGGGCTGGAAAACTGTCTATGTTTCACGCCTTTTTAGGAAAACAAACAAATTTTAATTTTCCTTACCAATCAGTGCTTTGATACCATCAGCAATGTCTCGCGCCAATATTGAAGCGTTTTCATCGGTGATAGTGACAGCTGCGCACTTTTTGCGATCTGTTTTACCACAGTTGTGCTTCCATATACACCGGCCATCGCTTCCTAAACAACCAGGCTTTCTGTCTGGCCATGGATCTCCATTATCTTGTTTCGAAGGGTTGAGCTTTCCATCATGAGGACATGTTATTATTATGCTCGTGTTACCGGGTTCGTATTTCGAAAACTTTTTCCAACCCCATTCCGTTTTTCCAGTGATTGATGCCGGTAGAAGAAAGAAGGATAGTAATACAGGGAAGATCAACATATTTTTCGGCAAATTTACAAGGCTGTTGTGGAGAAAATGAAAAATTCAAAAGCCTTTAGCCCTTTAAAACCCAACAGTGACCACCACTAATTTCTCCTAACAAAATCACTACATAATGAAGAGAAGAGGTTATGAGAATTCATGAAATGATCACCAAAGGGAAAATGCGTTGATCTTTTTACAAATTCTCTGAGCTATTTTTTATAAATTGTATGGTAACCAGTTTGGAGAATTTGTTATTTGGTATTGGGGCTTCATGTGAATGACAAAATCACAGCTCCGCGTGAAACAAATATGCTTCCCCAAGCATCAGCTAGTCTATCAAATGTTAACAATACAAAAATGAACTTTGAAAAACTGTTAGACTAACAACTTTTAAAACATTACAATTACAATCTCTTTCTATCTTCTTAAGGTTTGTCCAAAATGGCTTTCGTAAAAATCATTCTTGTGAAACTCAGTTGTGTTAACGGTTGAAGATTTAGCTGAGAACATTGATGACGGAGACCAAATGGTGATGCTTATCCTCGACTGTAGTAAAAACTTTGACGAGGATCCCCATGAACGTCCAATGGTCAAACTAAAGCATTATGGTATCAAGGAGAAAACATTGGAATGGATCAAGTCGTGGCTGACAAAAAGAACACTATCTATTGTGGATCAATCTCCAAGCCAGTAGCTGTAACGTCCGGAGTACCTCAAGACACCGTGCTCGGTCCTCTAATCTTCCTCCTGTATGTTAATGACAAACAGGAGGATCTGGAATGCACATTAAGGTTATTTGTTGACGATGCTCTACTAGATCACAGAATCACTTGTGAGACTGAAACCATGGCTTTACAGCGCGATCTGGACGAACTTGGATCATGGGCAGAAAGCGGGCAAATGGTTTATAATCCTTCCAAATGTTACAAAATGTTAGTTTACAGATCTAAATCACCAGTTTTAAAAGACTCAAGCTATTTAACTAGGTTCTTTCATCTGTTCAGCAACATCCCGACCCTGGAATCCTGTTATCTGATGATTTACGGGGGAATTCGCATGTTAACAAGATTGTGACAGAAGCTAATTCAACCCTCGGTTTTGTAAAACGTAATCTGCACTTCTGTTCCGAGGAAACTAAGCGATCTGCCTCATTTAGAATTTGCCTCTGCTTTATGGGATCCCACCGGCAAGATCAAATAGACAAGATTAAAGCGGTCCAGAGACGAGCAGCACGATTTATCAAAAAAGATGACAACTGGAATTCTAGTGTATCACAAATGCGGCATTGGCTGTCCTTAGAACCGTTGAAGGAAAGAAGGAAAATTCATCGTCTTCGGACATTCTATCAAGCTCACAACAATATAATCACCTTACCAGTTCCTCATTATTACCAGCAATCGCTGCGTTTAACCCTTTAAGCCCTAAGAGTGATCAGCGTCAAATTTCTCCTTGTAATATCACTGCTTTATAAAACAAAGTGGTCATGAGAATCTAGGACGCGATCACACAAGGTGAATCTAATTGATACTTCAACAAATTCTCCCCACTACTTCTATTGAAAATGTACAGGGATAACAAATGAGAATTTGAATTTTGATATTAGGGTTTAAAAGGTTAACAAGAAGCCAGTCGACGTATATCAGACCCTGCGATCGCAATGATTATTAGCTCTCTAGCTTCTTTTCAAAGACTATAGATGATTGAAATCTAATCCCCTCTACGATTAGAGCAGAAAGTTATTTGTAATTACTTTAGCTACAATTCTTTTAAAGTTTACCTTATATTAAATTTTTTTAGAATGTTTATTTATCTCTTTTCGATGCGAAGGCGTTAAAGAGTATTTCAGTAAAAGAAGTAGAAGATCCGTATCTCCTATTGTATTTGCTGTGTTATTCATACCGTCTTTCAAAACTTTGATCGGTTATTTTTGTTTCTCTCAAATTGGTGACAGTTAACACTGTTTGAATTTTGATAAATTTCGTGACACTTCTCCTTTAAGTAACTTAGTTTTACAGTTGTGAAACAAGTCAGTAAAGTCATCAACACGATGAAGTTTAAGGTGGTACCGGAGGTTAACGTGACCATCTCATGCAGAATCGTGCGATTTTCTACTAGGTTGAAGCTAGCCAGTACTTGGCATTGTATGCGAAGTTTCAGTTCAGGGCGATCTCATCGAAGCGAGATACAGGAAACTGAATAGAAGTTTCGTTTCTAAGACCAATTCCGCGGGAAAAGCTTGGTAATTGTATCCCAGAGAGGGCAAATTTGACAGTTTTAATATCCGGTTATGATTGCGAAACAATCACGAGTCACAAACTCGGTATGGTAGCGTAGGAGGGCCTACTTTCAAACTCGAGAACAAAAAAAGAGTTATGTTAATGTTACGCTATGGAGCAAGTTGCTTACTCTAAGAAATACGCCGGAAAATTATTGCTTTGCTTACCAACAACAGAATGCGGTCAAGACTGGAAGTTACTGCTGTAGAACTGATTGTACCTTTCAAGCAAAGATACAAAATTATAATGAGTAATTTGGAGCAGACTTTTGAAACAGAAGGGTCGACATCGAAAGAATTAGGCTGGATGCGAAATTCACAAGCATTGATGCAACGTGACAAAGTGAATTATTGATAAAATTCCTCAGGCGCAGTCTGCAGGTTTGAAACATTAGAAGTGGAACCCTTGAGATAAAGCATAATGACCTTAAAGAGCTAGATGGAGCGGAAAAAAGGGAGGGACAAATATTAACGAAAATCGCCACAAGCGGTCTGCAGGTTTTAAACGCTAGAGGTGCAGCTTAAATGGCCTTAATGTGATAAACGAAGCGGAAAAAGGAGAATTCTCTTTTCACCGGTTGAAAGCCAAGAAATTCTATTATCTTCAAACATATTGATTCACAACACAGGGGCATCTGTTCGGATTTCCTAGATGAAAGTCTAGTGATCCGAAAATTATAGGGATCAAAAACTTACCTTTTCGAAAATTTCAGCCACAAAAAAGGCTCCCGAAAATTCTAGCTGGCCTTTTAGGGTAAAAATCCGTTAAAAATAGGCAATTATACCATTTTTTAGATGTTCGAAAATCCTAGGAGAGGTAGGCAAGCAAGAAATTTTACAACAAATGTTCCGAAAATTCTAGATCTCAAATCGTCTTCCGAACAGATATTTTCCGAAAATTGACGTTAGGTGCCCCTGACAACAGACCGATATACGCGACAAATGCACATTCAGATGTCAGGAAAAGAAGATTAGAGAACGGATTTCCCTGCCCTCGAGTGATGTTTACCAGTTTGCGTAGTGCTTTCTACAAGATTAAGTTTCTCAGAAATACCATTTTGAAAATAGAGGATATTATATGTCCGCGCGGAGATACGAAATTTCTCCTCAATTGTTGAAAAATATTTTACGACTGAGCGCACAAGAGAAGAGAAATTTCTTATCTCCAGGAGAACATGTTATGTTATATTTATTATATAAACACCAATGAGATATCGAACCATTTCACTTTAATATTTGTTAGCTAAAAAGACGCGATTTATAGTCTAGTCATAGCAACTGTGATCATTCCACGTGTAAAGATATCATGTTTTCGCGCGAAAGCTCACCTGGTATTTCATTGGTGTTTATATAATAAAGGCTTTTACTTCCTTACAACTTGCAAATTCGCTGTAAAACGACAAGTGCAGGTAAAGCCTTTTTTCAATAAATGTTGTCAATGCTTCATTCAATAGCCGATTATATTACCTTTGGGGATCAATCGACGCATCCGTTAAAGAACCCATTAACAGTTAGTATGAAAAGAAAAACACTTTAAAAGACGTATAACTATATTGTCAAACTGTTACGGCGCCAGAAAGCGTCTAAAGCAAAGTCAAAGACGAACGCCAAACCTAGGAATTTTGATGAAAAAACAACGGCTTTTTTCTCAAGGTTACTCGACCATCAGGGAGAAAACGTTTTAAGCAAAGAAACATCAGACTTACAACTCTAACAGGTACTGAGCCATGCTGAACTATAAGGCTTCGACCATTTCAAATGACAAATTACATGTACACAAGTAAAGCCTCTTATATTTTTAGTTCGAAATAAAAAAAAATGTGTGTTAGAATATCGGATTGTTTCTCTTTTTGGTCAGCCAGACTTTTTCCTTGGATCTGGACGGATGGTCATGCCCGCCACCGAATCGCTCATTGGGGCATGTTTGGAAGATATTTCACACACGTCATCTTTTAGTATAAGTCAAGTCGTTTAGGGACCGTGGTTCTATAAGATGGTGGTAGGAGGAGTATCACGTGTAAATGGTTCAAACTTCATTTGGCGTTTGGCCGCCATTTTGATTTGGCAAAAGTAAAAGAAGTGATGGAATATCACACCTTTCGGTCCCTTTGTTTCTAGTGTCTTTTGACTCGCTCAATTTAAACGGCTACCATCCACTCCCAAGACAAAACAAATCCCACCATTTGCGTCAAAACTCAACTTTATTACTATAAGTTTATCGTTCTTCTATTATCCCGTAGGTAGTTTATCTTAAAAAACCCTGAAATGGCTTTAGCCAACCTTAATCTTGAATCTTGCCATGCAGTCTTATTAAGTCGCAACTGCTGAGGAAGCTCCATCTGAATGGCATCAATTTTGCCCTCCTCTTTCGACCCATATTTCATCACCGTGAGGCCCCCAGAGAGGAAGATAGACGTCTTGCTGACCTTTGGTACTGGCTCTTGTGGAGAGGGAACCGCGCGCAAACCTTCCTCATTCATAAAATGACCAAGACTCCAGTTGCCACGGATCAGCTTCCTGGAGCAGGCATTGTCATTTCCACACCAGAAGTTGCTAAGGCTTTTGATAGAGGAATTATTCCCATCATAAGCACCACTGTCAAGTTCGGTGCCGTGGATGAGGTAACCAAGCTCCGTCCTTTGTAGTTTATGACCATGGCCATGAATGTCCAGAAGCAATCCGCGGCCAGGAATGGCTGATACTGCCTTGGCGATGAATGTGGTGTAATTTCGATACGCTGTTACCGCGTCTGCAACACTCAGAGTTGCTGGTCCCATCGCTCTGTTGGCATCTAATTTGGACCTGCTCAGTCTGCAGTACACAACATGCGGTCGCAGTCCTGTAAGACATTCATTAGGGAGCTTAAGCAAAGGCATTTTTGAGCGACGCACGTCAACCGGAAGTGAGAACTTTTCCATTTTAAAGCACCTTGACACACCAAATTTGTATTTCTAAGTATCTTTACTGTTATAGAGACGATTTGTCCAAAAAAATTGGGCAAAAACACCGTCCAAAAATGAAAAAAGACCACTTCCGGTTGACATGCGTCGCTCAAAAACGTCTCACTTTTGGTGCGTTAGGGTTAACGATTCGCTCTATGTAAGGGAATCCAAAACAGTCTTGGATTCTGGATTCCACGCTGTAGATTCCGAATTCCAAGTACTGGAGTCCGGATCCCTTAGCGGTGGAAAATGGAATCCGGTTACGGATTCCAAGGCCAAGGATCCCGGATTCCACAAGCAAACATTTCCTGGATTCCAGGATCAGGATTACCTTTCGGTCACACGATTCACTCCCCTTTTTTTTCCATCTCCCTGCTTCAGTACTGCTTATCAAATGGCAAGCCCCAGGAAAACCATAAGGAGGGTCTCCGACTCTTTCCTACTGTTATCTCAAGTGTTAGGTGCGTCTTACCTGTTATTGTTTCAATTCCATCAGCAATGTCTCGAGCCACCGTTGCAGTAAATAAGTCGCTCTCTGTGATTGCTGGGCACTTTTCAGCATCTACTTCACCACAGCTGTGCTTCCATATACACCCGCTGCTTCCTAAACAGCCAGCCGTTCTATCTGGCCATGGATCTCCATTTTCTTGTTTTGAAGGTGTCAGCTCGCCTCCATGAGGAGCAGTTATAATGAGACTCATATTTCCAGGTTCGTATTCTGTATAGTCTTTGAAGCCGCGTTTCGTTCCTCCAAGAAGCCCAGACGGAAACGTGGTGAAGAGAAAAAAGCAATAGATCAACATGGTCTGTCGAAATTGTAATAAATAAACATTTCATAATACAAGAAAACATGTATACAGTTGTAAGGGCTGTCCGCCAAAAAAACGGCCGTTGTAGAGATGTTGAAACAAGAGACAAGAGTGACTGTATGGACTGTCTGCCAAAAAAAGGCGGTTGTAGAGAGATGGCCGTTAGTGGAGGTTCGACGGTATCGGCAAAAGCCAAAGTTATCAAGTCTTACAATGAGGGTACTCTTGAAAAGACGATTTATCAATCAGTGACACAGAAAGAAAAATCCGAAGATTCCCGATAGGAGTTGAGCCAACGGACCTTCTGTTACTAGTCCAGATGCTCTACTACTGAGCCACAGGAGTCTCGTGGGAGCAAAGGCCACTAAACTCAACCTCGTTCCCAGGGTTCTCTCTCTTTCTCGAAGCATTTTTTACGCGCAATGGTAGAGATGAAGCTGAATTTTGAGCCAGGTGAATACATGGGAAAAAACAGAGGATCTTAGAGATGAACCCGGTGACCTCCGGCGCAATAAACTGTGTTGATCGATGCTTGGCGGCATTATTACCGTCAAACTCAGAAAACCGTGAACACCTGAAAAATTTCAGGAATGTTGATTGTGTACTGGCCAATCACAGTAAAGTTCAGAATAAGCGAGCAAACCTCAAAACCACAAACTAATTACCGTTGCTGTTTGCGGTTTAGTTATCTCGTGCCTTATTGGCTTATTTCTCGAAACACAATAACATTCCATAAATATTTCTGGTGTTTACGGTTTTGTGAGTTTCACAGTGGTTGTCTTTAAGCCGCTAAGTTTTACTTAACCAAAAATTCGTGTGTGAAGGCCTAAGTAAGATCTCAAGTAACTTTGCTTTGCATCTCATTAAAGTCGGAAAGTTGAAATTCAAAGGATCGGTTGTGTGTGAAGCTTTATTTTACTTGAATTAATAAAAATTTACTTGTCTTGAAATATGTCTTAGCTTATTTAGGCTCTAGTGTAAAGACTACCAGTAAGTCAATCCGTTAGACTTGGTAGAGAGACTCAAACAAAACTGAAGACGCACTCCTCACGCTCTCGCACAGTAACTTTGAACACAACTACAGGTTATTTCTAACTTTACTTGGTTTGAGTACTAAACATATCCGCGATAACACAACTGGCCTCAGTTGTTTAAACGTTAGATAGTGTTATCCACGAATAAACTGCTCTTTCACCAAAAATCGACGAAGGTTCAACTCGCAGTTTGATAACCCTTTACTTAAACATGGACTTCAGTTTAATAATAGTTGTTGCTTGTTTGTCTATGCATTACTATTTCTATCATCACAACCAAGCAACTTAAGGGTGGTTTTCACTAGTGCCCCAGTCGGAGTCGGAGTAGGAGTCGTAATCAGAAGCGTTTATAGAACTTTACGATCTAATGAAAACAGCGTCCTGATTTCGCTTACGACTCCATCAAGGGAAAACTAGGTTGACGGAGTGGCAAGTAGGAGTAGAAGAACTAAACCAATCACAAAGCATGGGAACGTGCATTGTGATTGGTTTATCCTTCCGCTTCTGCTTCCGACTCCGACAATCTGGTTTTCTCTAGATCGTAAACGATGGAATCTGATCATAACCAGAGTCGGAAGAAAATAGAAACGTTTTGATTCTTCCGACTCTGATTCCGTCGCGCTTATGACCGTCTGCTTACGACTCGCATTTTTGATTTTCACTAAGTGAGCTCTTACGACTCCGACTCCGACTCCGTCACTGCGAAAACCAGCCTTTGGTCATCTCCCGCAGCATTTGATAACAAACAACACAAACACTTAACGTCTTTAACGCACGATTCTCAGGAATAGTTTACGCCTATGAGCCACAATTCATGGAATGGGAGAGTGCTTGTGACCGACTTAAAAATTAAGGCACTTACATTCCTATTAGCCTTTGGTACTTTCAGGAAATTGTCCTTGTTTTGACACAATTTGAGTGATATCTTTCCTCCGACATGTTCACGATACCACCATGAACAGGTAAACTGAGGGTCGTAAAAAGCACTGAACAAAACAAAGAGGTCTTTGTCTTACGTCAAAAACTGAGGTCCTAACGGCAGCGACGTCAATATTAGCACCGTTGAAACTAGGTGAATCCGTTCGTTTAAAATAATAAATTATAAAGTATACTCTATTTTTCATATAAACAACAATGAAATACCAGGTGAGCTTTCGCACGAAAACATATCTTTACAAGTAAAAATGGCATGTTATCTTCACACGTGAAAAGATCATCGTTGTTATGGCTAGACAATAAATCGCGCCTTTCGCAACGAAAACTATTTTAAAGGGTGAAAAGGTTTGGTATTCCATTGGTGTTTATACAAAAAATAAAACATCATATACCCAGCTGGATATACGAAATTTTTCTTCTCGTGTGCGCTCACTCGTGAAGTATTTTTCAACATTCGAAGAGAAATTCGTATCTCCGCGCAGCAATGTATTATCCTCTATTTCAGCCATCTTAGAAAAGATGAAGAAATTATTTACATCTCTTAAAGGCACATGCAACTGCATGTTATGAACTGCGATACTCATTTCTAAACTGCCAAATTTGGGTCCGGCAAATCGTTTAAATGCGTCAGCAGGTGGGCCCCATTGAACAAAAGGGTTCTTGCCAAGTTTTAGTGCTTTATTTAAAGAAATTCGTGAAAAAAATATCCAACAGCTACTCAATCATGTTATCTACTGTGAAAGAAATCAACTCAAACCAAAAGGCAATAGAATGGAAGATAACTAAGAATAACGTTAGAAATATTTAAGATATAACGCTGGTCATTGGTGTGAAGGCATAAGGGTACCCCATTAAAAAACTGTCAAAACACAGGATAACACAGAAATGTTCAGACCAGAATAAAGTAAATAATACCGTCAACCGTTAAATACAGGTATGACAAACGTGAGAGTTATTCAAGAAAATGAAGGGAGTCAAAAAGCGAAGTATCTATCCCACAACAAATTGACCTCCACTTGTTTCTTCCTCTTCTTAAGCCAAAATAAAAAAGTTAAAGACAACTTGACACCATACACATTGTCACCTATTGCACTAGTATAGTACGTCTTCTCAAAGTGGCCATTTAATAGAGGTGAAGACAATAATAAATAATTCGTTGGGACCTCGGAAAAGTTGATCGCGACCGCTTGATACGGGTGACCGCTTAATAGAGGTTTGACTGTAGTCACGAAAGTGGTCTTTCTGCGAGGTTAACCCTTTAAGCCCCAGTATCCACATACAAATTCTCCAAACTGATCTGCATACATTGTTTCAAGAATTAGTTGAGAGAATTCGACAATAAAGTTATCGTACTAACCTTTCTTCCTGTTACACTGAGAAGCTGTAACACTACAAGGATTTATGAACATCATCAGGAAAAAAAATCGTCCTTCTGGTTCTTAAGAGTGTGCACGCTTTCTAGAACGTTTCTTTCTGCATTCCAGCGTAAACTGTAGTCGTTTTCAACTTTTCAATCGCAGATCACTAGTTCGACGGTCCTCAGATACACGCTCAACCAAATCAAAAGCGCAAAAAATGAACTCTTATACACCTTAACAGAGTCGGATCGTGTACAAGCAAAGTCGATTCGAAGTCCATTTGCGCCCGTCCGAAAGCAAAAGAAAAAAAAAAGGAAAACGGTTCTCCAGTAACACCGCAGAAAACACAAGCTGGTAGACCTTTTCAGTCATGTTCTTCACCACTTTCTTGTTGTTCGTGGTCATCGTCATGGCCCTACTGAGCTAGTGGTCCGTTTCAATCAGCGATTAACAACTTCAAACAATAAAAATCAATAACATGAGCCTAAAATGCAATTGAGTTGCCTGGGACCGTTTGTACGCAAGACTGCTCGAACCGAAACCGAGTTAAACCGGAAGCGGAAATATGCAACTTTAACAACTTTAAACAATAAAAATCAATAACACGAGCCTAAAATGCAATTGAGTTGCCTGAGACTGTTTGTACGCAAGACTGCTCGAACGGAAACCGAGTTAAACCGGAAACGGAAATATGCAACTTTAACAACTTTAAACAATAAAAATCAATAACACGAGCCTAAAATGCAATTGAGTTGCCTGGGACCGTTTGTACGCAAGACTGCTCGAACCGAAACCGAGTTAAACCGGAAGCGGAAATATGTTTTGAACCAACAGTACAGGAAGTTTGGTGTTATGCGGGTACACTGAGACACTCAATTTCAAGAAGCCATGTGAACATCACAACTAAAGACTTTCAAAAACATAAAAAATCATTTATTACAGCTTACCGTGTCATCTTCTTGGCCTGCGTTAAGGGCTATATGATATTTCCAGCAATTAACAGTTTACATTTCCAATTAAAGCATACATCATGAGTTACAAGGTATAACTAACTCTAGGTGGCTGTCTGTTTTGGTATCCCAATTACTAAATTAACTGAGTTACGAACAAATTACTGTATTACGTTTATGTATGTATTCTTTTTTTTACCTTTTGGAAAGCTACAAAATCGCACAGAATAATAGAATAAATTGAAAACAATTGTACGTTCATTACAATTTCGTTACAATTTGAAATTACTGAATGAATAGGAACATGCGTCAATTCATGGCATTATACATTTTCAATGAAGAAAGCACTTCTTACAAAGCTTATAAAATCTACTCATGGTATAGGAAAGGAATACTTATTTTAAGTCGTTATCTCGAAACGGCCGGTCATAATCTCACTAATCAATCTGAGGCCAACGGTCTTCCTACATCAGTGCTCCGTTTCTGAGAAAACTGCCCACCTACCCCTTCCCTAAGCCAACATTAACACTTAGTTCTCACTTAGGGCAAAATGTTGGCTTAGGGGAGGGGTAGGTAAAAACAAAAGAAGTCAAAACAAGGATTACAGGACCTCTTGAACAGATGGCCGGGAAATACTGAAACAGTTGTGCCAATCCTTGCTTCTTAAGAAATCTTTCAAAATCTAACAACAAAAACCAATTACTAACAATTTTAATAACACTGTAGCACTGCTGCAGAAACCTTAAGAAATGAGCAGAGCAAGACGATGACAGAGACCTAAACATCGTTAACACCAATTCCACTATCATAGTTCAGCCTAAAAAACTTTACAATAGCTCTTGCCACCTTCCGTCTTGAATTTTCCCAGGCAGTTTTATTTTTTCGCAGTTCCCGCGGAAATTCCATTTGAATGGCATCAATAACACCCTCATCTTTCGATCCATACTTTCTCACTGTGAAGCCTCCGGAAAAGTAGGTCCCAGTCAGGCGGACCATTGGACCTGGTTCTTCCGGAGAAGGAACCGCGCGTAAGCCTTCCTGATTCATAAAATGACCAAGGCTCCTTTTGCCGCGGATTAGTTTTTTGAAGCAGGCGTTGTCGTTTCCACAGGTGACATCACCAAGACTTCTGATGGAAGAATCGGTTAGGTCAAAATTACCGCTGTCAAGTCTTGAACCGTAGATGAGGTAACCAAGCTCAGTCCTTTGTATTTTATGACCATGGCCATGAATGTCCAGAAGCAGTCCGCGACCAGGAATAGCCGACAATGCCTTGTTGATGAAATTGGTGTAGTCGTGATACGCCTTTTTCGCGTCTGGGACATTCATTGTTGCTTGGTTGATCTCTCTGTTGGTATCTAGTTTCGACCTCTTCAGTATATTGTACACCACGTGCGGTCGCATACCTGTTACAACAATGCATTTTATCTGAGTGTCAAAGTATTAAGCACGAACGTGCTACGTTTACGTCTCCTACTGGACACGAGACCGCCATTTTACCTGGTCATCCTAGCCACACGAAGATCTAATCTTTTGCATGGCTGCCAATAATTTTTAAGCACTATTGTAAAGATATATCTGTAATTTTTACGTTATTTAGTTTAGCTAAAGGGCCACTGGTTTATCAGCTTCCGCTGTTATCTGTTTACCCTCATTTTTAAATAAAATTGATTGATTGATTGATTGATTGATTGATTGATTGATTGATTGATTGATTGATTGATTGATTGATTGATTGATTGATTGATTGATTGATTGATTGATTGATTGAAAGGAAGTACCTTCACCTTTAATATTTGAGTGCTAATGTATAAAGCGCGGAAAGACTATTGAGGATACTGTCATGTTTACGTCACCTATACTGAAGACGGGAACGCCATTTTACTTGGTAACCTGAGTCACGCGAAGGCCTAGCCGTTTGCAGGGCAAAAGCAGTAACTTCACTTCTCAGTTAGGGACTGGTCAAAAAGTATAGGGGGGGTGGGCCGGAGTAGAGAGGGGGTGGGTCATGAGGTTTTGAGCCTTGTGCAAGGGGTGGGTCGTGCAATTTGCAGCTACCCTTATGGGGTGGGTCACCCTATTTTATTACATAAATAAGCACTAACTGTACTAACGAGACAGTTGACCACACTTGTTATATAAAACACAGCCAGCTGGAATTATTGCTAAAATACTCACAAACCTGTTGGAGGGGGACATTGGGGATTTGCGGTGTTGTGGTGTTGGGCATTTTTTCATGCGGTGTTGCGGTGAATAAAATCTCAGCTTGCGGTGTTGCGGTGTTCTTAAACCTCACGGTGTGCGATGTTTGCGTCTTAAAGTCTGCGGTGTTCGGTGAAACGAAGTTATCTGCGGTGTCGCAGTTTCCATTTTGAAGCTTGTCAGTTCTAAATTTAGCCTCCATCATGTTTGATTTGAAATAAAATACACTCTAAGGGTCCTCTAATACTCTCTAGTTAATATTAAATACGCTGCCCGTCACCAATCCTAAGCCTGTTTTTCATTTATATTAAGTAACTTGATAAGCAACGTGACTTTCGCGACCCGGATCGCCACATGTACGTCCGTCAGACAAGATGAGCGAAAACCTTGCGACTGACGCAGCTGATCCTGTCGAGACTGAATGCGTAGTTCATTGCGTAGCTTTTTTTTACGAGGAGGGCAAAGGTGGAGAAGACTATAGGTGGAAAAACAAATTTCGATGCTCCATAAACAAGGAGGAAAAGAGACTCGCGAAGTTTGTAGAATGCATTTGGTAAGTAACACGCATTGTCTCTGTATCTGAATATCGTAGCTAGTCTTAACTGTTTAAGGTCGTACGGAGGTCAATCTGATATCTGTCTAAACCCACTCCAAGGTCGTTCGATCTTCTGGGACCTTTAAGACGCTGTTTGGATCACTATTTGACCTATTTTTGTCTACTTTCTCAAATGGGTCAAATAGCTATTGATATCAAGCTCGTGAACGGGCAGCGCGAGACTAGGGGGGAGGGACAAGGGGGAGGGGTAAGGTGTATTTTTTTTTTGTTTAAAATTTTACTTGGCGCAAAGTCACGCTTTGGCAGCGCCATTCGTTTTAATAATCGCCTTTTTTTTAAACTTTTCCATCCTCATAAACCTTATGCATAATGACGTAAAACAATGCTTTTGCGGCTTGAACGTACGTGCATTGTGGTAGTTGCAGTCACGCACGAATCCAATATGGCGTTGTATTTCCCCGAAGCGGGAAATTTAAATGGCAGAAATGCTGACAAGTGTTCTGATATGGCCGGGCGGTCAAGTAGCGGCTCGGAGTATTTGTTTGAGCCTTCAGATACGTCAAATACTACGTACTTTTCCTATTTCCCCCACTACTAGCACAACTGGCCGCCATCTTGGATTTGAGCGTGACTACAACTACCATACTGCCTTTCGGGCGTGTTACGTCATCATGCATACGGTCTACTGCCTGAGTACCCATAGTTAAAAGGTTTCAAAGCCTGAAACTTAAATATTCAAGAAAGGAGACTGGGAGTATTTTTCTGTGACAATGTTAATTAATTTCAGGACAAGCGACTCTCCGGAAATATTCTTGTAGCACGAGGCAGCGGTAATTTTCCGCTCAAGTTCATAGATCTTCTAGGATTCTAGAGTCAAAGTGTACGTAACAACCAAGATCGAAAGGCATAGGCAGAGTAACTACAGCTTTGGCCTCGTTATGTGTTGTTTCAGAGATTTTCTTAAGGTCAAAGGCAAAATCTTGAAAGCTTTATCTTGTACTGACGCTAAAATCATCAGACTGAAAATAGATATTGCGGTGACGGTGAT